ACAAATTCACTACCAGACATTTAAAGTTAACATCAGTGCTCCTCAATTTATTCCATGAAATAGAAAGAAAAGGAAGGCTACCAATCTCATTCTATGAAGCCAATATAATCCTGATACCAAAACCACATAAGGACACAACAACAACAAAAGTGAAACACCAAGTTCCTTGATGAACATAGACACAAAAATTCCCAATAATACACTTGCATACCAAATTCAACAACACTTTTAACCACACCATGATCCAATTGTTTTCATGCCAGGGATACAGGATGGTTCAACATATGCAAATCAATAAATATAATACAGCACAAAAACAAAATCAAGGACAAAATTCACATGATCATCTCAATAGATGCAGAAGAAAAGCCTTTAACAAAATTCAACACCCTTTGGGGGCTGGTGGAGTGCCTCAAGTGGTAGAGCGCCTGTCTAGCAAGCATGAGGTCCTGAGTTCAAACCCCAGTACCACTAAAAAACAAAAATTGCTACAAAATTCAACACCCTTTCATGATACAAACTCTGAAGAAACTAGGAATAAAAGGAATGTACCTCAGCATAATAAAGGCTATACATACCAAACCCTTACCCATACTAAATAGGGGAAAGCTGAAATCATTTCCTCTTGAACACAACAAGAATGCCAACCCCCCTCCCAACTCTTATTCATTGTGGTACTAGAACTTCTAGCCAGAGCAAGAGAAAGAAATAAAAGGGGTTCAAATTGAGAAGGAAGAATTATTAAGTCAAATTATTTCCATTTGCAGATGGTATGAACCTATACTTAAAAGATCCTAAAGATTCCACCAGAAAACTCCTAGATCTGACAAACACTTTTGGCAATATAACAGGATATAAAATTAACATACAAAAATCAGTAGTCTTTCTATATACCAAAAACGAGCAAGCAGAAAAAGAAATCAGGAAAACAATTCCACTCACAATAGCCTCAAAGACAAAACCCTAGGAATAAACTTAACTAAGAAGTTGAAAGACACCCAATTGAAAAACCCTAAAACCTTGAAGAAAGAAATTGAAGAAGTCATCAGAAGATGGAAAGACATCCCATGTTCATAGATTGGCAGAATTAATATTGTGAAAATGGCAGTACTATTGAAAGCAATCTACAGATGCAATGCAATTCCCATCAAAATCCCCATGTCATTCTTTGCAGAGATAGAGAAATCAGTCCTAAAATTAATATGGGAACATAAAAGTCCCTGAATAACAAAATCAATTCTGAGCAAAAACAGCCATGCTCATAATACTGGACTTCAAATTTTACTACAGAACCAGAGTAACAAAAAACAGCACGATGCTGGCACAAAATCAGACATGATGACCAATGGAACAGAGTAGAAGGCTCAGAAAAAACCCACACAGCTACCATCATCTGATTTTTAACAAAGGAGCCAAAAACGTACAAGTGGAGAAAATGCAGCTTCTTCAACAAATGGTGCTGGGAAAACAGGTTATCTACATGTAGAAAACTGAAACTAGACCCCTATCTCTCATCTTGTACAAAAAAAATTTTAAGTATTTTTAAAAGTACTGGCTCTATTCTAAGTAGACAAATTTTAATGTTTATACAGAAAATAATACAAAGAAGACTAGTCAGAAATTTTTTTGAAAATCTCAAAAATATGTTGCTAAGTGAGAAAAATATACAGAAGAGTGTGCATAGCATGCTACCATCATTGACACAGAAGTAAAGACTATACACTTGTATGTGCAACTTCATGAAGCACCTACAGATGGAGAAACTGGTGACAATGGCTGCCTTCCAGGTAGGAAACAAGGGCATAGAGGACAACAAGGGGGAAATTTTCACAGTGTATCTTTTAGTACCTTTTGAATGTTGAACCAAATGTGTGTATTACATATTGTTTTTAATAAATGAAAACAGGCTGGGCGCAGTGGCTCATGCCTACAATCCCAGCTACTTGGGAGGTGGAGATCTGGAGGATCATGGTTCAAGGTCAGCCTGAGCAAAAAGGTTATCAAGACCTCATCTTCAACCAACAGGTCAGAAATGGTGGTACATAATTGGAATCCCAGCTATGTGGGAGGCATAGGTAAGAGGACTGTGGTCCAAGGTTGACCCCAGACAAAAACACAGAATCCTATCCAAAAAATAACTAAAGCAAAAAGGACTGGGATCATGGCTCAAGTGGTAGAGTGTCTGCCTACCAAACTCAGAGCCCTGAGTTCAACCTCCAGTATAAATAAATAAATAAATAAATAAATAAAATTTTAAGTAGTGTTGAACTCCTGAGAATGATAATGAGAGAGGTGTAGAGGGCAAAGGAAGTAACAGAACTGGATGTTTCAGTCAGGAAGAACGTGTTGGCACATGTGAGGGCACCTGGTGCCCTAAGGTGGACAGGGAAAGCAGAGGAAGAGAGCCTGGGAGTAACACTGACAAGCTCCAGTCCACGGTGTTTGGGGAAGAGGTGATCTGCAAAGGCCATGAGCTCAGGGCTCTGGCCAGGTGGTTCTCTGGAGCAGGGAGGCTGCCTGTCCTTTCTTTCTGCTTTGGAATTGGCTCTGGAGAACAGCCAGGCTCTGCACAATATGGCCTCTCTTCATTCTTGGCCAGAGTTAAGTCAACTGCATTTGATTTTGATCTCCCAAATGATAGGCAAATTCTCTATCATTTGAGCCACACCTCCAGCTTAAAAATGCTTGTTAAAAAAAGAGAGACGGTTAATAATGCTGGGGTGTGGCTCAGTGAGAGAATGCTTACCTAGCAATGCGGGAGGTCCTGGGTTTGATCCCCATTTTAAAGTTTTTAATTAGTCATGTGTGATGGCACACACTTGTAATCCCAGCACTCAGGAAGCTGGGACAGGAGGATCATGAGTACAAGGCCAGCTTGGGCTACACAGTGAGACCCTGTCTCAAAAGAAAAAAAAAGCTAAAGGAAAGAAGGAAGGGAAGAGAGAAGAAGAAAGGAAAATATAAAGACAGAAAAGAGATTTGAGACTTAGAGGGGTCATAGATACCACTGTCAAAAGCAAGATCTGGACAAACAGATGGACAGACGACATCAGAGAGTGAAGAATCCTGAAGTGGGAGAAACAGAGACATGCCAGAGAATCCTTTCAAGAAGTCTGGGGATGAAAGAAAGAGAGATGGGGAAGATGAGGAGGAGTCCAGGAAGAGAACTGGCTCTGGAAACAAGGAAAGGTAGATCTTCCTCTAAAGCCAAGGGTGGTGCCAATATGGAAATGTGAAGGGGAGAATGGAGGCTTTTCGCTTTCTCTATGAAGGAAAGACATCTGTCTATTAAGAGGGAAATATAGCTGGGCACTGGTGGATCATGCCTGTAATCCAGCTATTTGGGAGGAAGACATTGAGAGGATCATGGTTCAAGGCCAAGCCAGCCCAAAAGTTTGTGAAGACCCCATCTCCAAAATAGAGCAAAAATGGACTGAAGGTGTGGTTCACGCTGCTTTCCAAGTGTGAAACCCTGAGTTCAAACCCCAGTCCCACCAAAAACAAGAGTGAAATATAGAGGAATAGGACATAAGACTTGAAAAAGAAAAATTGTAAGAGGAACGAATATCTACATCTGGTTCCAGAATCAACTGAAGGCAGCCAAAAAAATAACCAAGTCATGGGAGAAAGCAGCTTGAAAGATTTACTCACCCCTCGCTGTCTTTTTTCTATCAACAAAAGTTTAGGGAACAGGAGTGTGATTGGCAGCAATGAAGACAGTCCGTGAGAATCACACCATCTGACCATAGTCCCCTCCCCTTGAGAATGAGCTGGACTTTTTCACTTGCTTCAAATAAATAGAATATGGCAGAAGTAATGATTTTCATTATCAGATTTTCATTCTGAGAACTGGTGATAAAAAGACTGACTTCTGTCATGGATCTCTCCCCATCCAGCTGATGCAGCTGATATTTTGTGAACTGCTCTGTGGAGTGGCCCATGTGGCGAGCAACTGAAGGAGCTCCCCAGCCAACAGCCTGCAAGGAACAGGCCCTCAGCACAACAGCCACATGAGCACGGAAGTAGACCTTCCCCAGTCAGGCCATCAGATGAGACCAGAGCCCTGATTGCACAAATTGACTTCAGTCAGTCAGAAACAAAGCCACACCCAGGTTAGTTGTTTTAAGCTGCTAAATTCAGGGGTAATTTGTTAAGCAGCAACAGATACAAGGAAAGATAGCAGTGAATAATCTAGAAAACATCCTTGCCCTCCTGGAGCCTGTATTACAGAAGAATAAATAAAAAACAAGTAGAGCCCAGTTGCCAGAGCTCACGCCTGTAATCCTATTTGCTCAGGAGGCAGAGATCAGAATTGAGGTTCAAAGCCAGCCTGGGCAAACAGTTCATGAAACCCTATCTCAAAAATACCCAACACAAAAAAGGACTGGTGAAGTGGCTCAAGTAGTAGAGTACCTGCTTAGCAAGCATGAAGCCCTGAGTTCAAACCCCAGTACTGCCAAAAAAAGAAAAAAGAAACAAGTAGAGTATGAGGCCATAGATAAGAGGTGGCAAAGGAAGGCAGTGTTGGAGAGAGAGATGGTGGCATGATTAGAAGGGCCACACAGGAAAGACCTCTTGGAGAGGTGATACCTGAGCTGCGATGACAATGATGGGTTGTCAGCTGAGATGTGAGGAAGAGCAGCCAGGATAAAGAAATAGCCAAAACAAAGGTCCTGAGGCCAAAACAGCTGTATGATTCCTGGATAGGAGAGGCAGCCATGGGAATTGGCACATGTGACTGAGCTGGAGGGATGTGAGCAGGAGCAGCTGTGGTTGGATACTCAGACACTTAAGGACAATGGTTGGGCCATCTGTGAAGTCTGGTGGCCTGGTTCCCTTATCTCACAAGGTGAGTGGGTGTCTCAGAACTTTTCTTAAAGTACACTTCCCATAGCCTCTCTCTGCTGGAACCCAGTCGTACCCCCCCACCCCCTGCCTTCTGCACCTAGACACAGCCAAGTCCTGCCCCCAACCTCTTTTCTCTGCCAAAGGGAATTCACCTCTGAGGGCCCCTGGGAACCGCTGGGGCTGCTGTAGCAGGTTGGATCCAAAGAGGAAGCAGAAGCCGTTCACGTACATGTTCTCCTTACAGATCTGGTGCACTGTGGGACCACAGGCCTGAGGGGCAGAGGTGAGTGGGAGGACTGCCCTTGCTTCTGTACGTTCATGTCAGCACCTCCAAACAAGACCCCAAGCCCAAGAAGCTCAGGTACCCACCCTCCTTCCCCTCAGAACCCTCCTCTGATCCAGGACAGCTCACCAGCAGCTGAGTGGGGTTGGTGGCAGCCGCCAGGGACAGGCCCAGGGACATGTTCACAGCCTCTGGGGGCACTGAGGAGACAAAAATGTACATGGTCACCCCTGGGGACTGAAGAGACTGTGCAAAAGTTGACAAGAGTCACCTTGACCTGGAGGCAAGGAGGCTGGCAGATGAAGGGGGTACCCAGACACCAGGAAAGGAATGTGGCAGGGCTACATGAGGGTGTCTGCAGCGGAGAGCTGAGAAGGAGGAGCCAGCCTCTCTGTACCCCACACCACAGACCCCCTCCCCAGAACACAAGAATGCCTGACAAGAGCAGGTTTGTTCATGGACCCCAGCCCCAGGCCCCAGCTGGGGGAGAGGCTTACCCTGTAGGTGGATGGGCTCACACTTGCCGTGCTGTAGTCACACTGGTAGAGGCCACCTGTCTGATTGGCAGCCTTTATTTCCTGGGGAGCTCCAACCACCAACCTGCAGGAAGAAGTGGGAATAGAGAAAACTGCCTGTGGGCAGAGAAGGAGGCCATGGAAAAAATTCTCCCCTCTCCCCCAGGAAAGTGTGGACCCCCACATGGATTCCTGAACTCCATAAATAGGAACAAGAGTTGTCAAAGAGAAAAATGGGAAATTTTTAAATCTTGGAATAAGGCAGGTCTTTCTAAGAATAACACGAAACACAGAGGGCATTAAAAAATAGATAAATTGCCAGGTGCCGTAGCTTACCCTGCAATCCTAGCTTCTCGGGAGGCAGACAGCAGGAGGATTGTGGTTCAAAGCCACCCCCAGGCAAATACTTCACAAGACCCTATCTCGAAAATACCCAACATGCACAAAAAAGGGCTAGTAGAGTGGCTCAAGTGGTAGAAAGCCTGCCTAGTAAACCCCAGTATTGCCAAAAAAAATTCTTTTTGAAAAAGATAGTCAATCTCACAGTAGTTTCAAATAAATATCTAGTATAGATATTTGCTGATTATAAGCAAAGTCAAAGGACAAATGGCAAATAATGGAAGGGAGATAAGCAACTCACACCAAAGACCACCTTCCTCAGTGTAGTCAGTTCCTACGAACCAGGAAGGAAGGGAGGGAGGGAGAGAGCGAGAGAGGAAGGGAGGATGGGAATAGAGAGAGAGAAAGAAGGAAGGAAGAAGGGAGGGAGGAGGGAAGGGAGGAAGAAAGGAAAGAAGGAGGAGGGATGGAGGAAGGAAAAAGGAGGTAGAGAGAGAGGGAAGGAAGGAAGGAAGGGACAGAGGAAGGGAAGGGGAAGGGAGAGATGGAAGGAGGGAGCGGGGAGGGAGGGAGAAGAAAAAGAAAGAAAGAGAAAGAAAGAAAGAAAAAGAAAGAAAGCCACAAACTACACATGACAAGAGGGCAGGGTTGTGTTCAATAAAATTTATTTACAACTGCAGATGGCAGCCCATAAGGAAGCCAGAATTAGATAGTTACAGATAGAAATCTCTCCAGAACAGCCCACAAGAAACCATTTGCTGGGGTCTCTCCTAGGAAGGGAAGTCGGGGAAGGACATGAGGGAGAGACTTTCTAATCTTATACCCTTTTTTCATCTTTTGAATTCGGAGCCCTGTAACTTTACTACCTATTGGAAAACTCAATTGAGGAACTATAGCTCAGTGGTCGAGCACTTGCCCGGCATGCATAAGACCTGGGCTCCTGGGTTTTCTGGGGCACTGCAAATAAGAAAAAGTCAATCAATGAAACTGTTTTCTCTTTTTTTCAGCTATTTAGGGAAGCAGGGCTTCCCCTAAGGCTCTTACCGGGATCCCCCAAGCTGGATCACACTCTGCCCAAAGCCTCTCGCGTTCTCTTGGAAGGTCGTTGGATATTCAGTGTCCAGGTTGAACCCATGACATAAGGCCAGGGCTGGAGAGAGAAGAAGCAGGGAAGGCCAGGCAGAGGAACCAAAGCAGATAATCAGGTCCTTCTGCTCCATGCACCTCTTGTCAATATTCACCCAAACCCAGCAACAGGACGTCCACCCCCAGGTCCAGCTCTGACAGCCAGATCAAAGGTCAGCACACTTTTTCTATTGAGGGCCAGATAGTAAATGCTTCAAGCTTTACAGGCCAAGACGCAAGAGGAGTATGTTATATCAGTGCTTATATAACAAGAGAAAATACATGCCCATAAAATTTTTCATCAAGGAAATTTTTTAAATGAAGTACAATTTTTTATTAACCGAGATAGACTGATGAGACAAACAGAATTCCTTTCACTTAACTGGGACTCAAAATTAGTGCTTGCTCTCACTAAGTTGGTTGTAAATGTTCTTCTGCAACCTACAGCTTCGATTTCAACCAGCGACCACTGGTGGTTCACCACGCTTGCTGAGTCACAGCCTTGAGACCACATCATGGGGTGCAGTGAGGCCCCTCTGAGCCCACAAATGGCCTCTTTCCCATTGCACCACCGCAATGATTTGCTCAACTATTCACTCAGTTAGAAAACTTCCTTCCTATGCAATTCTCCAGAATTTCAGTCCCTTCTTACTCTCCACAAAATGTAAGCATAAACGGGAAACAAACTCCAATCATTTTGGTTCATCAGTCATTCAACAATTTACACCTAGTCCTTGTTAAGTAGAGCTGGAGGCAAAGTAGAAGAAAGAAGGTAGAAACATTATAGGAGGAAAGCTCAACACTTGCTGTGTAACCCTGAGTATATCGTTGCACCTCTCTGGGCCTCAGTTTCCTCATCCTTGAAGTGAAGGGCTACCAAACAGCCTTGCAGAATTAATAAACAAGTATTCATCCAGGAGTCCCTGGCCATCCCACCTTGGTCCAACTCTACTTTCTGCTTCTCCTTGAATCTTTTATCCTTCCCCCAATCCCCTTTACCTCTCCCCATCTAACTTCTACATCTATTCTTCTTTTTTCTTTTTTTTTATTCAAAAGTTCCCCTTCCCCCCAAACCCCTCACCAAGGGGCACACACATCCCTGGTGTACCTGTTAACACAAGAAGTCCGCAAGTCATGACTGAAGGCGCAAGAACCTGGAAGAAGTGTGAACCCTGGACTTCTTCTTGACAAGGCACCACTGAGCCTCCCTCTTCAAGAAAGTCACCAAAGCCAGGAAGGGTAGAAAAGAGAAGTGGGAGGCAGGAGGCTGTTCAACACTCAAAGGAAGAGGGCGGAGGCTCAGTGAGCACCCAGCCCTGCCTAGCCTCCTCCTGGGACAGCATTCAGCACTTTCCCTCCTGACCCAGTTTCCTGGCCCAAACCACCAACCAAAAGATACCATTTGTCACCCACTTGCTTCTGGGGTTGGCCAAAGTATTATGAAAAGCAAGCTAAATGGCCTTGGGGTCTGCCTCCAAGAATGTGAGCTCTGAACCCTAATACATACCAGACAGCTGTGGGAGATCAGACTCTGGGTCTCCCCCAAAACACACTTTACAAAATTTCCCTGCTTCAACCCACAGACATAGGCGCTCCCTCCAGCCAGAACTCTTCTTGTCAGCCATCAACTAAGACAACTCAGTACAGAGAACCTTGATGCCTTCTGAATATTTTGCTTTTTTAAAAAGTCTCAAGAGCCAGACATGGTGGCGTGCCTGCCCCTCTAATCTCAGCACTTGGGAGGCAGAGGCAGGAGGATCCTGAGTTTAAGGATAGCCTGGATGCACAATGAGACCCTACAAGCCAAAAACATATTTGAAAGTCTCAAACCTGTTCCCCAAAATTTTTCACCTCCAAGAATTTATCTTACCAAATCACTAAGAATGGCCAAGTGCACTGACTTGCGCCTGTAATCCTAGTTACTTGGGATATGGTGATCAAGAGAATGGCAGGTGGAGGCCAGCCCAGGCAAAAAAATAGCAAGACCCCATCCCAACATGCAAATTGAGTGTGCTGGTTCACATCTGCAATCCTCGTTATGTAGCAGGTATAAGTAGGAGAATCCTGGTCCAAGGCCAGACCCTGATAAAAAAAACCACACAACCCTATCTGAAAAATAGCCTAAAGCCAAAAAGGCTGGAGGTGTGGCTCAAGTGGTAGAACCTTTGCCTAGCAAGCATGAGGCCCTGAGTTCAAAACACACACACATATGCAGGAAAACCAAAATATTAATAATAATAATCTCCGAGATAACAGGGTTACAGATATATTCCATTATCCATTACTTCCCTGCAAACAACTCCAAAACAAAGTAGCTTCAAACAGCAGTTTGCCCTCATCTCTCGTGAGATCCCAGCCTCAGCAGTTCCCACTGGAGCATCTCACAAGATCGCAGTCAGATGCTGACTAAGGTTGGAGTCATCCAAGGCCCTTGAGCTAGGCTCCCATGCAGTCACTCACATGGCTGACTGTGGGTGTTTCCTGTCCACTGCTGGAAGCTCAGGTGGGCAATGAGGCACCCACTCATGTCCTCTCCACATGGCTGGGACTTCTCCCAGCATAGGTCTGCATGTCAGGAGCAAGCGCTCCAAGACAGGAAGTGAAAGTTTCCGTCCTCTTAAGGTCCTGGTCTAGAATCTGGCACAGTCAGTTCTCCAAATTCTATTGGCCAAGCAGTCACAGAGCTCACCAGTCACAGAGGTCACAGAGTAGTACCAGGTGCTACTCAATGAGAGGCGTGTCAAGATTCTGTAGCTACCTTTTATGAGCTACAGAGTGTTTTTCATTTCCCTCTATATGCTTTTTTCATTTGAAACTTCTTTTTGAGACAAGGTCTTGCTATGCAGCCCAGGCTGGCCTTGACTCAAGATCCTCCTGCCTCAGCCTCCCAAGTGCTGGATTACAAGTGTGTATCACCACACGGCCACCCCCACTCTTAATAAAACTCTTAGCTTGGCTCATGTATAATGGATCATGAGACAAGGATTTAGGTGCAAGTCACTTATCTGGAAGGTCATCCAGAAAACACTAATGTGTGAGTGGGGAAAGGGGACTACATTCAAATCCACAGCTCCTATCACTGTTGATTGAGGGGCTGTCTCTGGGAGTCCTCCATTCTCTGGTGCTCCCAGCTTGCCCTTGTCCAGGTGTAGGAGGCTCCAGGGCTGGAGAGAGACCTCAGGTTGCTGGTGTCACACAAGTCAACATCACATGCCAATAGGTACGGATACTCAAATATTTTTTCCTACCACTAATCATTATATCAAATTTACTACAAATTTTCATTGCCTATTGTCTGAGTCCCCTGCAAGGCGTAAAATCTCCATGAAAGGAGAGATTCTTGACAGTCTTACTCAAAGCTGTATGTCCAGTGCATAGATGGTGCCTGGTTCAGAAGAGACATCCAATAAAAATGAATTGAATGAAGAAAGAATTCTGGGACATGAACAGACTTGGAAGCCAAATCCATGTTCCCATCTATACAGGAATTGTACTGGCACAATCTAATGCTGTATTCGGGAGCTCTGAAAGCTATTCAAAGTCTTGCAAGTTGCAGGGGAAGACTTGGATATAAATTGCAGTCGAGTTGGGTCAATGTTAATACTAGGCACTGCAGCACTTACCAGTTCCCCACCACCACCACTGCCACAGCCAGGCATGCATTCCAGAGGCAGCTTGCAAGCTGCCTATGGGAGATAGGTGGCTACAAGACACCCTCCAAACATCTGATATTAGTGCTCTGTTGCTGAGTGCTGCTTCCACCTCAGAACAGACGGAATGGAATCATTGCTGGATCACCCCCTTTGTAGAATGAGCCTTCCCCCTCTGGCTGAAGCATCTCCAAAATTTAAAGTGCAATGCCTTTTTTCTTCTTTATTTTTCTCTTTTCTTCTTTTGAGAGCCAACATTTATGAACTATGGCATATCAAGCAACCACATTAACAAGTTCCCCAGAACCACAGAAAATCCTATGGAAGGGAAAGAATCTGATTTCCAGAATTATCACATATATTCCAAATGTTTAGTTTTCAACCAAAACAGCATAAGGCATACAAAGAAACAGAAAAATATATTCTATTCAAAAGAAAA